GTAGCTAATTTTTTGTTACCCAGGCCCAGAACAGACTTCCAGAAGCAGCATCCGCACAGAGAACCGGTTGTTCACATATTTGAATCCCACCACTGAGGACATACATAATGACTTCTCCTATGTGACAAAGCAGGACATTGGCAACAGTGAAGATTTGTTACATCCACTCCTCCACCCAAAGTTGCACCTTGACCAGCTAGATCTTGCCCTTAATCAGAATGTATCTCAATAAAGTAGAAGATACTTCTGTCCACCAGCTACTATCTTTAAACCATTTGTGAGAGGGAGTAATCCAAACATGTTGCATGCCACTATTTTTGGCCTCTTGCATACTGCACTGAAAAATGGATAGGTTTTAGACTATGATGGAATGGATCATTCAGATCAGTATTTCTCAACCTTGGCAACTTTAAGATGCGTGGACTTGGGTATTCTGGGAATTGACGTCCACACATCTTAAAGTCACCAAAGTTGAAAAATGCTGGTTTAGACCACTAGAGTCTAAATGGCCTAAACAAGCCATTCAAATCAGTCTAAATTCTCTTGTTGAATTTATTTCTCAGTGGAAGAATTCAGATTAAAGCATTAGTTCCACTGTCAAAGTGTTTGTTGACTGAGGAAGAGATTTTTTAACATTTAACCAGAACCTTCCTTCCAGTAACTGCCTCCCGAAAGTACAGCAAAAGAACATCTTACAATGACACCAAAAATAGCTTTCCTGGATGCACCAATAAATCTACTGAGGTTTATAGATGGCTTTAGTAAAATGTGGAGAAAGTACTGGAAAGCAAAGGATCAAGGATGGAGACTAAACATCACTAACAAATAGTAAAAAAAACCTACAAAAAACTAGACTCTTCATATTTTTTCTCCTCACATTTCTCCTCTGCGTTTTGTTGATTCCTTTTCTTTGGATAGCTCAGAGGAACACCTATTCCGTAAATGTTGGCAAATATTTGATCTTTGGCATCAACATATAGGAAATATTAAATCCTTGCTCATAGGCAACAAAACAACTGTCCTAGGCATGGTGGAAGCTGCAAGAGTGAAATCCCTAGCCACATTTTTACTTATTTATTAGATTTTATCCTGATTTTATTACTTTATAAGTTATTTAAGGTGACCAACATTCATCATACTCCTTCCTCTTCCTCTTTTTCCTCACAACAAAAACCTTGTGACGTGGGTTGAGTTGAGAAAGATTGAGTAGCCCAACATCACCCAGGTAGCTTTCATGGGGACTAAAACTCACAGTATCCTGGTTTCTAGGTCAGCATCTTAACCACTAGACCAAATTGCCTCCAATGAAGTTCTCATTGGAAAAACACTCAGTTTGCTGACTAGGGACAGTTTTGTAGCCCTGGAGAGGTGGGGGACAATTGTCCAAATGATTCCAAATGATTCTTTTCATTTTGTACTGATGCAACCTTTTCCCAATTGCTTTTGGTGTTGACCTCAACAGCTCAATCAGCCAGAGTATGTGAGAAAACCAAAATGACGGAATTCATTTTATATTTTAATTAGTTTATAGACTTGACTGACATACCTGAACTGTACTTTGAATGGGTCCCTTTCGGTGCATCCCCTTGCACACTTAAAAGGCACTGTACTCTGACTGATTCTGTCTCTCTCCCACTGATAGTGCAATTCTGTGATGTTCCTCCTACTAATTAAGGAATGCATTTGTACAACATGCTCACTCAATTTATCCCATTTGAGGGGTCAAATGACATGCGGGGATTTGATGTAGTGGTTAAGGCACTAGGCTAGAAACCAAGAGGCTGTGAGTTCTAGTCCTGCCTTAGGCACAAAGCCAGCTGGGTGATTTTGGGCCAGTCCTATTCTCTTATACTAACTCATCTCACACTGTTGTTGTTATAGGGAAAATAGGAGGCGAAAAGAGTATTAGGTTTGTTAGCTGCCATGAGTTACTTATAAAATAAAGTAAAAGTAAAATAAAATCTAATAAATTATCTATGTAACTAAATATATATATTGAACCATGCAGTGATTGCATGGGCTAAGGAGGAGAGAAGCAAGGGCATTTCATATCAGGACTCTTAAATTGTATTATGAAAAGTATACACACTATATTTACTTCATATAAAACACAATCACCATTTAGTTATATTAGAATGCTTTCAGAAAGATACCTATGGACTCTACCAATTTTCTTCCATTTTTTTTTACTTAACTGATTTTTGTTTGGTTAAAAAATATGAAAGAAATAATAGAAATCACAAGGAGATTTGCAAATGAAATACAATATCTGGACCCTGGTTAAATTCTGCCAAAGAGATTGAGCAATTGTACATTAAAAGCTCCATATGGAGTCGGACAACATGTGGCTTTCAAGATGTTATTGGCCACGAACCCCTAAGCAGGATACTAAAGGCAAAAGAAGATGTGAGATACATTGCAACAATGGAAGATTCCCAAATTGCCACTCCTCAAGAAGCTTCCCCAGTGTCAATCTTCCATTTACCATAGAGAAATGTACCTCAGAACCAGATGAAGAGAGAATAACATTGCATTTTCCAATATGTATTTCCTCAGTAGAAGTAGCCACGAAGCTTGATAGCAAAACAAGACGTACTTAACTATACATGCATACACATAAGTTTGTGATTTCTGAAAGGATTTATATGAAACAATAATTGTTGCTGTTTTTTACATGCTATCTGTACTTTATATTTGGACTAGTAACAATCAGCATAGCAGCCTGTCACAAGAAAATGCATAGGATTTCCTACCCTTTTTGCAACAGAATGTTTACTAGAGTTGGCCTAAGATAACATCTTGATAGCCAAGAGAAGCAATCCAAATGGATCTACCCTCTTAACAAATGGCAACATTAAACTGAGATTTAACTGGACTTGCTAATTTTTAATAATGTACCAGTGCTGGCTTAGGTGATTTTGTTCCTTGAAAAGAGGATTTCCTGATCTTCTGTTGAGTGTGAAGTCCCCCTTGTATTCACCAGTTTAACTTCACACTGTTATTGCTCAAAGTCTCTCCTAAGAGGTTTAATGGCAGTGACACGGATACGATCACTGAACTGTTAGTGTCAACTTTAGAATGAGCATGGCTGCTGCCATTTTTTCCTTTTCATTTCTAGTTGACACATAGCATGGAGGGAGGGGGGTTGCCAGTTGTTGTGCTGGACAAAACAGACTTTCTTGCTTGGACTTTCTCTCATGGGAACCAAAGTCATCAGCTACTTCCGAGACTACGGGCTGGGCGTTTCATGAAAAGCCCGGCAACAAGCTGTATGTATGGGGAAACGTAGTTGCTTGCATAGCCTTAGGGGTGGGATTTCTTAACTTTGTATTGGGGAATTGTTATGCACCTCTTCAGACTTGGTTTCACTTTTGAAGTGCCGATACTTTGTATCAATAAACATGTTCTTTGAGGAACTGCAAACCTCGGAGTTCTGCTTTATTTGTCTGTCTGTCGGAACCTTGACATTAAACCAAGTATGTAAGACAATAGATTTGAACAGCGTTCGGCATCATCTACACTTCTACAGCAATGCCCAAATGATAAAACACACATGGTGGCATCCTTATGCAAATGTTGTCCTTAGGCGTTCATGTTCAAACATTTGGTGCAAGTCACATTTGCGTGATGATGTCATCATCACACATTTCATCCTTTGACTTCTTTTGCTCTCCCTGAAGATATCCATGGTCACATCTCTGCCATTGCCCAGTATCTCCTTTTTTCTAGAGAAAGAATATTCTATTGGGTTGTAGCTTACTGAGGATAACAGGGAAAATCAAGAGTTACCAGCAATGCTTATAAAATCAGAAAAACACTTTTATTTACAATTCAATCATACATTGATTAATTACAGCATTTTGGCTATTTTATTATCTAGCCAAAAAAAAAAAGGAAATTCACAGATATCAACATAAACATTCAGTTTCACAGGAGAACATTGCATTGCTATCAATACATTTAAATAATACTGTACAAGCTATGAAAGTACCAAAACATGAACCAAGTAGGTGAGAGGCTCACAATATATATATATTTTTAAAAAAACAGGTAATAACCTTGGAATAGAACTTAAATTGCAATTTTGTCTGGAGTGTACAAATTATTCCTTTCATAATATAGTTGACAACATCAAAGTAGAGTTTTTGCTTTACAATGAGACTCATACCCTACTTTAAATGTGCATAAGACTGTACCTCCATTTTATTCATATAGCTAGTACTAAGTAATGGGACATTTCTAATTAAGTAATTTCTAAGTAATAGGACATCTCTAGGAAAAGGAAGTAACAACAATTAAACTCGTACATCTGTCAGTGTATGCCAGTTTAATTGTTATTTTCTTTTCCTAGAGATTCCTGGGAACTATGGTCTTCTTTCAAGTTTCCTAATATTTCTCAAAGAATATTAGCTTCCACTATTATGCAGAACTTTAAAACTGTATACTGCATGTACTCTATCCTCCCCACTATTTGTAGCATTGCAAACATGGGGGTCTGAGCATCTATTTATACAGAAACAAACCCTCAAAGTTAAGCACTTTTTAAATTTAAATAATTTCAACAGAAGAATGAAATGCATTTTTAAAGCTCCCTCTTGTTGAGATCAGTAGGTCTTTAAAATCCACCAGGATTAAGCCCATTCTGAAAAGAAAATCTTCAGAATATCATCTAATTATTCACAAGTAGCAGTGAATAATTTTGCATTTGCTACTTACAGGTTAAAAATACTATATACAAAATACATACATCTATTGTAGATTTACCCAATTGTACTCCATCTCTGCATAATACATATGTTCAGAATATGATACATTATTTACAAGGAATATATAATATATCTTACATCATATTTACATACATTTCTACTGTCCAACCCTTCAAAAACAGTTTGGAAATGACCCATCTTCTAATCTAGAACCAAGGGTCAAATCACTGCTTCATTGAGAAGTGCCTGCATCCACAAAGTCCCCACCACCAAAATATTAGAGCAATAAAGAAAACAAAATTAAATATCCAAGCAGTGGGCCACTTTGCAAGGAAGCAAAGAGGTTTAACTGTTGAAGTAAAATTGTGGTGAGACCACAGACCAAGTAAACTGATCCAGGGATGACATTAAAAAATTAGCAACTGGAGCTTTATAGGGATTTTGCAAAACAAGAAACACCTTTCCTGTTGCTAGCAAATAGTTAAGAGTTAAGCTGTTAAGAGTTAAGCTGCTCATATGGGGTCCTTGGTGCTCTGTGAACTTGTTTTGTTGCAGACATTTCATTACCCAACTAGGTAACATAATCAGTACTACGCTGCAATACTACTTCTCTTCTATTGATAAACTGTTCATATTGTATAACTCGCCTCTATGTATAAAGATCTCTGGATAGCCCATCCTACTGCACTTCACTATTCTCATAAGTAACTACTTTGTTTGGGTATGTAGGTAAATCTGAAACTTAGTCCAGCACTACCAAAAGTAAGGCAGGTTTCATTTGGCTTGTGTTGCACATGAAAGTTAATATTGTAAAATAAAAGCATAGTTTAGAAACATATCTGTAGATTAGCCCAAGATCACAAGCACTTTGTGGCTGAGTGGAGACACTGAGTGGAGACAGAGTCTGCGCTCAAGAGACTGGTTTTCGTGAAAAGGCATAATTTGGTTGCATCCTTTCCAAAGCACATCAGCGCAATTCCTCCCACGTTGAGTTGTGATGAGAAAGATCACCAAAGACTCTGAGCAAAGTCCAATATCATCTAGTTGGTAAACTTGCAAAACTGTCTAGTTACTTCTGGTTAATGGATTTATATGTTTGGTTTAAGTGAGTCTGCAAGACTGTAGGAGCCATTTATCTTCATCTTTCTAAAAATGTAAATAAATATGGCAGCCGCAGGACCTGCTACTGTTGCTAAACAAGAAACTACGATGATTACAGGTGTCACGTAATCCAGCTCTTCAACTCTGGCTGAAAATGAAACAAACAAACAAAAATTGAGTATAACAACAATGGCCATTGGCAATGCTATCTAAAAGTTTCACTAGCAAATGTTAATCTATTTCTGGATTTAACATTACCTCCTCTTCCTTCTCTTCTGGGGCTGACATTTTGTTCACCAATTGTACAAATTTCAGTCCCCTTTATATCAATATTTATATAGCTAAATGTCACATTCATGGACAGAAGGTCCTGATACACAAGTACAGGTAATCCTTGAGTTACGAATGTAATAGAACCTGCCAATTACATTCGTAACCTGAGGATTTGTTAATTGGGAGCCTTTGGGGGCACGGTCTCGTAAGTACTTTTGGGGGCTTGGTTTCGTAACTTTGAACCGTCGCTAAGTAAACTGTCATAAGTCAAGGACTACCAAGGGAGGGGGAGAAACAACATTATTGCCAACAAACCCCTAAGACACCCTTTCTCAATCTTGTAAGCTTACAAATGCGTGGATTTCAACACCCAGAATTCACTGCAGTAGCCCTGCTCTCTGGAGAATTCTTGAATTAAAGTTCAAATAAAAATCAGTTTACGGAAAGCTACCATACAGATCAATGTTGAATGTTAACCAACTTTAGTTAGGAGTGAAATATGGGCTAAAGGGAAGGTAATAAAATAATGAAAAGGCTTAAGTATCAGATCTACTGAAAACCCTCCATTTTTTTTATCATTTTTCTTCATTGTTATTTTCCTCTTCTATATAATCTCTTTATAAATGTAGTCACCAACTTACAACCATTCTTTTAGTGATTGTTCTAAGTTATAACTTATGATCATTTTTACACTTATGACCCGTGCAGCATCCCCATGGTCACGTGATCAAAATTTGGACAGTTGGCAACGGGCATGCGTTTATGATGGTTGCAGTGTCCCGGGTTCATGGGACCACTTTTTGCGACCTTCGGACAAGCAAAGTCAACGGGGAAGCCAGATTCACTTAACAACTGTGTTACCAACTTAACAATTGCAATGATTCATTTAACAACTGTGGCAAAGAAAGTTCATAAAATGGGGTAAAGTTTCACTTAGCCGTCTTGCTTAGCAATGGAAATTTTGGGCTGAATTGGGGTTGTAAGTCAAGGACTACCTGTACAACAGCTAGTTTGCTGTCTGAGCAATGCCTTTTAATACTGCAAGAATCCTAGCAAGGGAAAGGAAGAACTGATCCCAGTTACCTTTTGGGGACTGCTACCCAATAAGCATGGAGTGTTAAGGCAACGCAATCTGGTAGCAGTATTAGTATAATATGGTTATATGGTTCAAAGGTGGAAAAATACATACCAATTATTATGATCTCTTCTGTATTATTTCTGTCATCATCAGAAACATCCACCGGGTACACAACTGTATTATTTTTCAGTGTTGCAAGCAATGTCACCAATGAAATTATTTTTGGTGCTGTGTGTGATGTAGACATTGTAATCAACTCTGGTGCTGCTATTTCTGATGTAGTAGACATAAACGTTTTCAGCGTTGCATGAGATGTAACTGATTTTGTAGTTTCTGATGCCACATCTGATGTAAAGGATGTTGTTGTTTCAGATGGGGTGGTTAACGTTGTTGTTTCAGATGAGGTGGTTAACGTTGTTGTTTCAGATGGGATGGTTAACGTTGTTGTTTCAGATGAGGTGGTTAACGTTGTTGTTTCAGATGAGGTGGTTAATGTTGAGGCGGCTGTTGAAAAGGCTGAAGAAAGAAATGAAAATATGTACTTCTGTTAATTGTTTAAAGAAGGTAGTCTACTCTTAACAAACATAAAAGCAGAATACATGATATAGTACAGGGGTAGGCAACCTTGGCTCTTTTATGACACGTGGACTTCAACTCCCAGAATTCCTGAGCCAGCATAGCTCAGCTTGGAAACCTCTCCCCTCAGCATGGCTGGCTCAGGAATTCTGGGAGTTGAAGTCCACAAGTCATAAAAGAGCCAAGGTTGCCTACCCCTCATATAGTATATATGAGTGTTAACTGTGAGAAGTTAACGTTAACATGAGAAATTCCCTGAGGGTGGTCTCCAGCACTAGTCTGAAAGCTCAGAAGACAAAACCCCAGGTCCCAGTGATCAACCCAGACTGGATCCTGCAGTGTTAACATTGAATATTTTCAGTCTGAATGCTCAATTATCTGAGATTTAAAAAACTTTATATATTGGGTTTTTTTTGTTCATTTGAATGTAAAATATTTGACATTCAGACTTTAGCTAGAGAATATTGACCATTAACCCTGAAATCACTTCAGTGAGGGAAGACAGTCTTCTCATCTCTGTCTTAATCTTCACCCTTCACAATCCGATTCTAAACACGAAAGCTTTCTAAGTGTGGCTAGAACATTTAAAAATGGACTTAATGATCACATGCTCTCCTATTGTGTAGTACATTATTGTTATTAAAGGCTCTCAAAATGACCCACAACAAATATTGTAACATTTATTAGTGCATTAAATCTAAGGGTTTTTATCTATAATAAGTATTTTGAATAGGAATAGGCTGACCAATGAATCTCTCTTCTCTTGCAATAATAAATAAATTGCTATTATCTGCCCCTTCATAATTAAAATGAGACTGGCTATAATAGGACTGGTGATACAAGATTGTTGCAGATGCAAGGTGAAACCAATGCTTTGCAAGGCCAGTAGTAGTGAGGACACAATCTGTAAGTGCATTCAGAATGTGGCCTATTATATTCCCAGGGGTTTTATACCTTGTACAGAAATATATAGTGATCTTCTCTCCACTACACTTGTAACTTCATTGGTGACTTCACAAATATAGGTTCCAGAGTCAGAGGCCTGAGGATTTGGGATAAAGAGGTTGTACTTTTCCGTAATATTCTGGGCAATTCCATCAGGAAGCTGCTTCTTCCAGGCAAAGCTAGCCTTAGGATGACTTTCAGTCAGGCAGGTAAGTGTCAGTGCTTCTCCTTCTAGTATGGTGTTGCCTTGCAATGCCACAATTTGAGTATTCCGTGGGCCATCTTAAGGAAAGCAAAGGATAGACAAGTTAAATTAGCAAAATGGACATTGCAGGTCATAATAAGTGCCCTAAATGGGGAAAGGTTTGAGAATCAACTGGTGAACATCCACAAATTCACACTTGTTTATCAACTGATGGATTTTTCCTCTATTAAAAACATTTAAAGTACAAATATTAATCAGATGGGGAAAGCACTTAAAGCAGCTTACAAAATGAAAGCATAAACCAGAACTGCTCATTTGACTTGTCTTGCCCCAATTGTCTTAAGATTCCTTCTTATGTCCTCCTAAATCCAGTTCAGCCTATTGCAAGTGGAGGCAACCTTAACATGAATATAACCTGTGCTGGAATCTTTATTCCATCAACATACTTACAATTTATTTCCATCACATGTGTAGACAGTCTGGGTTTCAAAGCCATTTCCTCTAACAGCAACTCAGCTTTGCATATGATCTCTTTCCCAAAATCTTCTTCCATAGGAATAAAATTAATTTTATGGTTCTTGGTCTGTAATGATTTTGTGTGAGGGTCTTGAAAAAACTCTTTTTCAGCAGGTATTTTTCCTTTTAGCAAAGTGATCTTCAACTGCTCAGAAGGATAGACCTTGGGAACACTGCAGGTGACAGAAGCTGGTTCCCCAAGAATGAGAGGGCTTGTGAGCTCAATAACCGGATCGCTGGGGAATGCTAAAAGAAGAAACGAAGAAACCATATCAGAGGAAGGTTGTTAGCAGCTAAAATCAAGCTGGAATTTGTCTTGTCAATTCTCTGTTTACAACTACTCAGTCCTCATGTTTTGGATGCAAACTGCTTTCCAGCTGATGGCATCTGAACAAATATCATGGCAGAAGATTTTACATGCAGGTCTTGTTGCTTGATATGTAAACTCTGAATGAACCAGCATTCAACACAGCATCTCAACACATGAACACCCCCAGAAGACCCATAGCCAGGGAGGAGAAAAGAAGGACCCTGCGTCCAGTTCCATTATGCTACTACCTCATTTCAGTAAACAATTTTAATTTAATGCAAAAGCAAAATGAACTGTTTTACTTTCTATATCTTCTAATCAGTTAGAATGTAGCATTTCAGGCTAATTCTGCTGACTGTCAGTAGTTCGATTCTGACCGGCTCAAGGTTGACTTAAGTTAAGAGTAAATGCACTGTACTGTTTTCCAGTTTAAGAGCATTCAGATTTGATAGATGTTTATAGAAAGGCATGCACCCAAGACTTTGTCATACAGACTCTAATTAACCTATCTTCCTTTTTTGTGTGTAGCCTCCACAACATTTTTTTATTGTCTATGGACCTGGACTCCAGGATTATTAGGATGTAACGATCTAAAAGACAGCTTCAGAATTTCAATTACAGCAGACCCAAACACAATGGGCACAAATACTCCCAAACTCTCCAATTGTTGCTGACGGTTCCTTCTATTCAGCAGTGTCATCTGATGGAATACAGGAGATCTGTATTAGCACATGCCCTCTGGAATGGTGCGGGCACACACACATGCATACACACACATACCAAGATATGGATGGCCACTGCCTTGACTTTCCTTATCTTTCATAAGTTCTTGAAAACCTAGTTTTTTTTGTGTTGGATGCACCAGCATTGTTGAATGGTTGAAATTATGCTTATGGCTAGCCTTGGTTGTATCACGTCTTTATGGATTCAGACTGACAGTGCACTTCAGTTCTGTTAATTATTTTATTATTTATTTGTATCCCACCTTTATTATTTTTACAAATAACTCAAGGTAGCCAACATATTCAACACACCTTCCTCCTCCTATTTTCTCCACAACAACAAACCTGTGAGGTGAGTTGGGCTGAAAGAGAGAGAGAGAGAGAGAGAGAGACGGGGGCCCTCCCGGCCCCCACGGCCCCCTCCTCACCAGCAGCCCCCCCGGCTGAGAGTCACCCCCGGGCACGGCCCACATGGAGCAGCGCAGCCAAGCACATGGCAGCAGGGACAAAACATCAAAATATCTGTGACAACCATTCCTACTTTTAGATCAATTAGCTACTTAAATTCCATACAGGTGGAAACTTCAGGTATGCTATGAGAATTAGATACACTATATCTTACTACAGTTTAGTTACTTACAGTAAATGTCAACCATGACTGCTTTTTCTTTGGATGGTTCACCCGGCTTGCAACCAGCAGTGCAGACATATTGGTGCTCATGTTGAAATCCAACAGATTGTATAGTTAAAACGGAACTGTTTCCTTGACTGTGTGATTTCCCACCTAATGGATAGTCTAACTGGGTTCTCCAGGAGAAGTGTGGGGATTCACAACCAGTTGTGTGACAACTTAGGGCAATCTTGTGTCCAATTTGCGCAACAACCTTATGACCTGGCACAATGTCCTCTATTCCAAATGCTTTAGCTGAAACAAGAGAGAAGGAAGAACATTCAGGATATATGGATGCATACTGTATATGTATATGTAACAGATTAATATTTATCTTCCTGCTGTTTATTACCAAGCAGTTATCCAAATGGACCAAACTCAATTTTCAGTAACTTGCTTCTAGAGACCAAAGAGTTAAAAGCGGAAATGTATATAAGCAGGTGTCAAGGGAAAANCCTGATACACAAGTACAGGTAATCCTTGAGTTACGAATGTAATAGAACCTGCCAATTACATTCGTAACCTGAGGATTTGTTAATTGGGAGCCTTTGGGGGCACGGTCTCGTAAGTACTTTTGGGGGCTTGGTTTCGTAACTTTGAACCGTCGCTAAGTAAACTGTCATAAGTCAAGGACTACCAAGGGAGGGGGAGAAATAACATTATTGCCAACAAACCCCTAAGACACCCTTTCTCAATCTTGTAAGCTTACAAATGCGTGGATTTCAACACCCAGAATTCACTGCAGTAGCCCTGCTCTCTGGAGAATTCTTGAATTAAAGTTCAAATAAAAATCAGTTTACGGAAAGCTACCATACAGATCAATGTTGAATGTTAACCAACTTTAGTTAGGAGTGAAATATGGGCTAAAGGGAAGGTAATAAAATAATGAAAAGGCTTAAGTATCAGATCTACTGAAAACCCTCCATTTTTTTTATCATTTTTCTTCATTGTTATTTTCCTCTTCTATATAATCTCTTTATAAATGTAGTCACCAACTTACAACCATTCTTTCAGTGATTGTTCTAAGTTATAACTTATGACCATTTTTACACTTATGACCCGTGCAGCATCCCCATGGTCACGTGATCAAAATTCGGACAGTTGGCAACGGGCATGCGTTTATGATGGTTGCAGTGTTCATGGGACCACTTTTTGCGACCTTCGGACAAGCAAAGTCAACGGGGAAGCCAGATTCACTTAACAACTGTGTTACCAACTTAACAATTGCAATGATTCATTTAACAACTGTGGCAAAGAAAGTTCATAAAATGGGGTAAAGTTTCACTTAGCCGTCTTGCTTAGCAATGGAAATTTTGGGCTGAATTGGGGTTGTAAGTCAAGGACTACCTGTACAACAGCTAGTTTGCTGTCTGAGCAATGCCTTTTAATACTGCAAGAATCCTAGCAAGGGAAAGGAAGAACTGATCCCAGTTACCTTTTGGGGACCGCTACCCAATAAGCATGGAGTGTTAAGGCAACGCAATCTGGTAGCAGTATTAGTATAATATGGTTATATGGTTCAAAGGTGGAAAAATACATACCAATTATTATGATCTCTTCTGTATTATTTCTGTCATCATCAGAAACATCCACCGGGTACACAACTGTATTATTTTTCAGTGTTGCAAGCAATGTCACCGAGGTAATTATTTTTGGTGCTGTGTGTGATGTAGACATTTTAAGCAACTCCGGTGCTGCTATTTCTGATGTAGTAGACATAAACGTTTTCAGCGTTGCATGAGATGTAACTGATTTTGTAGTTTCTGATGCCGCATCTGATGTAAAGGATGTTGTTGTTTCAGATGGGGTGGTTAACGTTGTTGTTTCAGATGAGGTGGTTAACGTTGTTGTTTCAGATGGGATGGTTAACGTTGTTGTTTCAGATGAGGTGGTTAACGTTGTTGTTTCAGATGAGGTGGTTAATGTTGAGGCGGCTGTTGAAAAGGCTGAAGAAAGAAATGAAAATATGTACTTCTGTTAATTGTTAAAGAAGGTAGTCTACTCTTAACAAACATAAAATCAGAATACATGATATAGTACAGGGGTAGGCAACCTTGGCTCTTTTATGACACGTGGACTTCAACTCCCAGAATTCCTGAGCCAGCATAGCTCAGCTTGGAAACCTCTCTCCTCAGCATGGCTGGCTCAGGAATTCTGGGAGTTGAAGTCCACAAGTCATAAAAGAGCCAAGGTTGCCTACCCCTCACATAGTATATATGAGTGTTAACGTTGCTGTGAGAAGTTAACGTTAACATGAGAAGTTCCCTGAAGGTGGTCTCCAGCACTAGTCTGAAAGCTCAGAAGACAAAACCCCAGGTCCCAGTGATCAACCCAGACTGGATCCTGCAGTGTTAACATTGAATATTTTCAGTCTGAATGCTCAACTATCTGAGTTTTAAAAAACTTTATATATTGGGTTTTTTTGTTCATTTGAATGTAAAATATTTGACATTCAGACTTTAGCTAAAGAATATTGACCATTAACCCTGAAATCACTTCAGTGAGGGAAGATAGTCTTCTCATCTCTGTCTTAATCTTCACCCTTCACAATCCGATTCTAAACACGAAAGCTTTCTAAGTGTGGCTAGAACATTTAAAAATGGACTTAATGATCACATGCTCTCCTATTGTGTAGTACATTATTGTTATTAAAGGCTCTCAAAATGACCCAGAACAAATATTGTAACATTTATTAGTGCATTAAATCTAAGGGTTTTTATCTATAATAAGTATTTTGAATAGGAATAGGCTGACCAATGAATCTCTGTCTCTTGCAATAATAAATAAATTGCTATTATCTGCCCCTTCATAATTAAAATGAGGCTGGCTATAATAGGACTGGTGATACAAGATTGTTGCAGATGGAAAGGTGAAACCAATGCTTTGCAAGGCCAGTAGTAGTGAGGACACAATCTGTAAGTGCATTCAGAATGTGGCCTATTATATTCCCAGGGGTTTTATACCTTGTACAGAAATATATAGTGATTTTCTCTCCACTACATTTGTAACTTCATTGGTGACTTCACAAATATAGGTTCCAGAGTCAGAGGCCTGAGGATTTGGGATAAAGAGGTTGTACTTTTCCGTAATATTCTGGGCAATTCCATCAGGAAGCTGCTTCTTCCAGGCAAAACTAGCCTTAGGATGACTTTCAGTCAGGCAGGTAAGTGTCAGTGCTTCTCCTTCTAGTATGGTGTTGCCTTGCAATGCCACAATTTGAGTATTCCGTGGGCCATCTTAAGGAAAGCAAAGGATAGACAAGTTAAATTAGCAAAATGGACATTGCAGGTCATAATAAGTGCCCTAAATGGGGAAAGGTTTTGAGAATCAACTGGTGAACATCAACAAATTCACACTTGTTTATTAACTGATGGATTTTTCCTCTATTAAAAACATTTAAAGTACAAATATTAATCAGATGGGGAAAGCACTTTAAGCAGCTTACAAAATGAAAGCATAAACCAGAACTGCTCATTTGACTTGTCTTGCCCCAGTTGTCTTAAGATTCCTTCTTATGTCCTCCTAAATCAGTGGTTCTCAACCTTTTTAATGCCGCGACCCCAACCGGTCGTAAGTCGAGGACTAAACCGGTCGTAAGTCGAGGACTAAACTGGTCGTAAGTCGAGGACTAAACCGGTCGTAAGTCGAGGACTACCCAACCGGTCGTAAGTCGAGGACTTTCCCTGCCCGGGAGCGCCGCGCATGCGTGGTTCCGCCCCCTGCGCCGGCCGAGGCGTAGCTGGCAAGCGGCAGAGACGGAGCAGGCCGACCACCAGCTGGCCCA